GGACTTCCACTTTTAAAACTGGGACGGTTCCAGACAAATTGGGAAGACCTGGTTGCTCTAGTACCCAGATAATACTTGGAGATATTGTTACTGAGAAAGCAGAAAAGAACATGGGGGTGTGCCCAGCATTCTTTGCCATGGGGATACTCTTCATTTATCTAGTTGAAAATGAAGGCTCTGCCCTGAGTTCCACTCCACACACAAAGGGTTACTAAAGGGGTGCAAAATGCCCCCAGAGAAACAACCATGAGGATGACTTATCTGGTCTTTGCTTCCTCTTGGTTTGCTTTTCTGTACCTTCCCCTGCTGTGTTTGCTCATCAGTCCATCCAGCCATCTACACAGGCATCAAGTCATCTCCCTTTTCATTCTTTTATTTTTTTGATATGGAGTCTTGCTCTGTCACCCAGGCTGGAGTGCAGTGGTACAATCTTGGCCCACTGCAGCCTCAGCCTTCCAGGTTCAAGCAATTCTCGTGCCTCAGGCTCCCTAGTAGCTGGGACTACAGGCACCCACCACTATGGCCGGCTAGTATTGTATTTTTAGAATGACAGTGTTTCACCATGTTGGCTAGGCTGGTCTTGAACTCCTGACCTCAAGTGTTCCACCCACCTTGGCCTCTTAAAGTGCTGGGATTACAGGTGGGAACCACCACGCCTGGCCACCTTTCATTCTTAAAGTATTTGCTGAGCATCTATAATGTGCTCTGAAGGCATTCAGATGAATAACACCACTTAGTTTCTGCCCTCAAGGAGCTCACAGTTTAATCCATACAGACAATGAATGATAGTACAGAGTCTAACCACAATTGGAGCTTTGTACAAAGTATAATAAGACCCAGTAGAACAAGTAACTAAATTTACTTTGTGAGTCAGAGAAAGCCTCATAGGATGGGTGACATGTACTGGATCCTATTTTCCAGGTGGATAAAGAAGCACTATAGGAATGAGGCACCAGCAAGGCAAGGCTCAGATGGAATGCAGTGAGCACAGAGGAGAGATGGGCCACTTCTGTCGGGCTGGAATGTGAGGAAAGTGCCGAGGGGAGGGGAGGTGGTGGGGAATGAGTAAGGCAGAGAGAAAGGTGTGAAGAGCTTGAAATGTGGTAAAAAATCAAGTTGTGACCAGAGTATGAGCAATCTGGAAGGCCATCCCTTGAGGTATTTTTGTGTGCTAACTTCTCAGACAGAGCCTTTCCTATGAGAGTGTGTTATGAGGATGTACCAGTATGATGGAGTAGACACCTTTCTTTCTGTGCCTAGACCAGGCACAGGTGTTCTGTGACACTCACCTTGGACAATGCTCAAGGGCTTTCAGAGGGTGACTCTGAGTACCTGAGGACAGTGTTCTTTTGTGTCTGGAGACATAGCCTGTCACAGGATTTTCCTTTCTTTAATAATTTATAAAGTGTCTCCTTTTATGTATAGAAACATAAAGCTTTTAGAGTTGGCAAGGATCTTAAAGATCATATAGTCCCAACCCAAATGGAGTGCCTGAGAGGAAATATCATTGAGCTAATCAGGGGCAGAGGTGAATCAGAATTCAAGTCTTTGGACTTGAAGATCATAAAGATTTAAGGATATATATATATATATATACATATATATATATATACACACACACACACACACACACACATATATATATATACGTATATATATATATATTTTTTTTTTTTTGAGACAGGGTCTCACTCTGTCACCTAGGCTGGAGGACAATGGCACCATCTTGGCTCACTGCAACCTCTACATCTCAGGCTCAAATAATTCTCCTTCCTCAGCCTCCCAACTAGCTGGGGCTACAGGCATTCACCACCATGCCTGGCTAATTTTTGTATTTGTTATAGAGATGGGGTTTTGACATGTTGCCAAGGCTGGTCTTGAACTCCTGGACTCAAGCAATCCACCCGCCTTGGTCTCCCAAAGTGCTAGAATTACAGATGTGAGCCACTGTACCTGGCCCTAAAAACTTTTGATACAAAAATAATACCAAAGGGCTGTTAGAGTAAGCATACAATAATTTTGTAAAAAGAGCATTATCTTTGTAGCAATAATCTGAAATAAAAGCATTCTAGCTGATTGAGAACTAAATTTAATTTAATGTAAATTTAATTCTGAGCTTCCTGACAGCCAAGCAAAGAAAGCGATATGGTGGTTTACATGTTTGTTTTTGCTTGGCAAAAAGTAGCATAAACATAAAGGATTTAGGTTTCGACCAGGAGCAGATGGAACTGGGCAGCCCAATGCCAGAGCCTTCAGTAACTCACTTCACAAACCTGCAGATCTCACAAAATGTCCTGGAAATTCAGTCTTCAAGGAGCACATTGTCTAGTGGAAGATAAACAGTTAAAATCTCATATTGTAGATGCTATGGAAGAGGGAGACAAAGGGTGCTGAGGGAGTGTGGAGAGGAGACACATAACCTAGGATAAGAGAGCTGGCTTCCCAGAGGGTCATGATTATGATGTGATTATTCACTGAATCTCGTCCTAAGGGAGAAGGGGTCTGTTGGGCAAAGTGAAGCTTGGTGCTGGGGAATTGTGTTCTCATCAGAGGAAGCACTGCTCTGAGTTCAGGGAGTCATGGTGGGTTTGGGGAGCTGCAGGTGTTTCATGTGCTCGGACTGGCTGATATTCAGGCGGCTGGGTAGAAAGGACTGATATTCAGGCGGCTGGGTAGAAAGTGGCAAGTGAGAGGCACCCAGCAAATAAACGTTGCCCATTATGACTAGACCCCTCACTCGTGACCTTCCTGCCAGAGATGAGCACATCTTCATTTTCACTTGCAGACCTGTTCCAATTTAAGAAGCTAATGAGTATTTGCCTTTCCTTCAGGGCTAAGGTAAGTACTAATCCAGCTGGATTTGTCATTTGGACTTTAGTGAGGATAAAAAGTCAGGGACAGGTTTGGATGGGGGGAGGGAAGGGAAGACATAAAGGTGTGATAGGTGGGTAAGAGAGGGGGCCCTTCATAGGAGGCCCGGAAGACGACCGAATGCATCCCACGTTGGTGGGATGTGTCTCCATCCACTCCAGGAATCCTGAAACCACAGAGGAGTGAGCACTATTGTCAGCTGATGATTCAGAGATTAACCCCTCACAGATTAATGCATGGCATATCCAGATGCTTTCCTACAGGCACAGTTAATTAAGATGGAATGGAATATCATATCACCAGGCATAAAGACTGGGCAGGAGATGGGGCAGTAGGGAAAAAGAGGCAGTTAGGTCACAGCATGCCTCTGGTAATGGAGACTGGGGTTGGAGAAGGGGTTGCATACTGTGTTGTGTGTGTGTGTGCATGAGAGAGAGAGAGAGAGAGAATTTACCACTTTGCCTAGCTCAACCTTGGTGTCAACATTCAAGAGTAAACTTTTGGGGAACAGACCTGCCTCATGGGTCATACAATGTAGTCCTGTTTATTATTTCATTGGCTTCACATGATCACCCTGTGAGAGAGGAACTTTCCCTACAGATGACAAAACCAGGGCTAAATGATGAAGTGGGTCCCTGCAGGGCTCAGCGGGGTGAGAATTCCCATCTATTTTTCTACCTCTCAGATCTGTGCCCCTTCTCTGTGCCCACCCCTGCATGCCCACCATGGAGGCCCAGCTCTTCTGTCCTCAGCTTCTGAAGATGCACAGGGACCCTTCCTGCCTGCTTGCATCTGCCCTCCAGACCTCCAGACTTGGGGAGAAGGACCTCCCTGCTGACTCTTCTGCAGTGCAGATGACTTCTTCAGTGCTTAGAGATTCTGAACATACTTCCTTCTCAAGTAAACCATGCTGGACTTTTTGGATAAACTTAGTGATTTAAAAATGATTTTTTTTTTTTTTTTTTTTGAGATGGAGTTTTGCTCTTGTTACCCAGGCTGGAGTGCAATGGAGCAATCTCGGCTCACTGCAACCTCACCTCCTGGGTTCAGGCAATTCTCCTGCCTCAGCCTCCTGAGTAGCTGGGATTATAGGCACGCACCATCATGCCCAGCTAATTTTTGTATTTTTAGTAGAGACGGGGTTTCACCATGTTGACCAGGATGGTCTCGATCTCTTGACCTCGTGATCCACCCACCTCGGCCTCCTGGGAGGCCGGGCGTGCTGGGATTACAGGCGTGATTTAAAAATGATTAAACAGCTAACTGCTAGGAGAGATCTGGGAGCATTCTTCTAAGGTGTCAATACAATGTAAATATATTTTTAGAACAATCTTAGATCTTATGCTACAGATGATCTTATGCTTAGATCTTATGCTTACATCTTACAGATGTAGGAAAATTACCTTCATCAGGGGCTTGTAAATAGCAGTGTAGACCAATGCTTTGTCTTCCACAGGAGAGGAGACAAGATTTGAGGAACCAGAGAACCATGGAGTTAGGGACAAAGGGCTCAAAACTGCTCTGCAGACACATTCATCTGTACTTTGCTTTCCAGCAGCCAAGTGAAATTGTTGGAGCTTGCTGGGCTCTAGGCCTCATGGGGAAGACCACCTTAGGCTTTAGCTTTTCCTCTGCCCTTCCTGTCTGCTGTTATCGTCTTCTCTGGGCCAAAACTCCCTTTAAAAGGAAAACCTCCTCTTTGAAACCCACAAGATACTGTGAGCATTGCTCCCTTTCTCTGATTTTCAACGTGCGCTTTTGATTAAGTAAAGAACAATTAGAAAACCCACAGATAATATAGGGTATTCAAGAAGTTTAGGAAAGTGTTTGTCACCATCTCTTTGCCCCCATTCCCTCCTCAGCGATTGGCTCAAGGCCTGGAGTTCGAATCTGCGTGGTCTCCCTAGGCGCCTGCCTGAGGTGAGTGGTCAGCGGGTGCTGGCTTGGGGGCAGCTGGCAGAGCGCATGCTGTGGGTGGGAACCCAGGGAACACTGGGCGCCTTAGCTTGGAGCAGCTGGCACCGAGGAATTATTGCACTTCTGCACAACTTAAAAATCTGCAGTTTGGGGGCGGGAGGGGGAGCGCGGGGGTGGGTCCCCGAGCGTCCCATTTCTCCTCCCGGCTGTTGACTGAGCGCTCTCGCTCAGTGCAGCGGGGCCAGCGATGCCTTCTGGACCACACGCTGTCCTCGCCGAGGTCCTGGTTTGTTCTCAACCTCGGCTAAAGGCATCGTCCCCTGACTGCCTCTTCCATTCGTCCTTCGGAAAGGGGACCCAACTGGTTCCTCTTCTACCTATGAGGCGCATCTGCTTGGTGCAAATGTCCAGCCACCTCTTCTGACTCGGTGAGTCGAGGAATGAGACAAAGCATCTTGTTCTGCACCGTGCATGAGTCTTCAGGCAGCGGGACCGGTGGCAAACATTGGCAGGAACTGGAGCTGTATGTATTCTCCTTCGCACTTTGTTTTAAAACAAGTTTGGGCCTCGCGACTTCCTGAGAAAATCCAGGCAAATTAGTAAAGTGTAGCTTGGGCCGCGACTCCAGCAGCCGGGGCCGCGGGGGAGGTCATCCTTTTCCCGCCCGGCCACTGCGCTTCCGGCCCAGGAGGGAGCGCAGGTGGGAAGCGCGGGGCGCGCTCTTGCTCCCACCCGGACCGCGCCGGCAGCTCCGGGGTGACTCTGCATTTGGGCCTGGGCCGGGTCTCTGTCCAACCGTCTGTCCGCCTGTCTCGCGGTGGGAGCCCGGTAGTCCTCGGCCGCCTGTGCCCTCGGCCCAGGGCGCCCGGCGGCGGCCCGAAGCGAGGGGCTGGCGGAGCTGGGACCAATGGGACGGCGGCTGAGCGGCGGGCCCCGCCCCGCCCTGCCCCGCCCCGCCAGCAGCTCCTGGGAGCCGCGCTCCAGCGGGGAGGGACCGACGGACAGACCGGCCGACGCGGGCCACCCCGCTCTCCTCGCCGCCGCGGCGGCAGGCGCGGGGCCGCGCGGTGAGGCCTGATCCCTGCAGCGCGGGCGGGCGGCGTCGCAGAGCGGAAGGAGCGGGATGCGCCCGGACTCCTGCAGGTACCTGGCTGGTGTCCTCACCTCCCCGCGCGCTCTGGAGACTTCTCCAGGCGACCCTGCAACTTTACTGCACCTTCTCCCACCTTTCGCTGCCCCAGTCCCCTGTGGTCCAGGTCGCGGCTGCAGGACCTCAAGGGTCTATGGCCGCAGGGCACTTTCCGTCCTGCTGGGCGCCTGGCTCGCGGCGCCCGCATCCTCCGGTCCCCAGAGCCAGCCGTCTCTGGAGCCCTAAGGCTCCGCCTGTTGCGTGAGCTGCGGGCAGCTGAAGCGGTGCCTGGTTTCCTTTGAAAGCCGCGGGGAAGGTATTTAGGATCAGCTTTCGGGGCGTGGGGTGGGCTGTGGTCGGGGGGAGGATCACCTGGAGGCGGGAGTATCGAAGAGCCGGGGAAAGGCGGCACCTGGCACAGGGGCATCCCCGGGGCGTTTCCTTGGCCGAGAAGCCGTTCCTTCTCTTCTTCGAGAGGAGGCGCTTGTAAATGCTTCCCGGGCCGTCTGCTCCGCCTTCTTCTCTGTCATTCTTCCCCTCCCTTATGCCCTGCAGCTGTGCAAGGCGCCCCGCGACAGTTGCAGGGAAGAGCGAACCCAGGGCCTTTGCCCTTGTGCAGCACTGCGCCCTGGGTGGGGACGCGTGGGGCTTGCACCGCAGGTGTGGAGTCACTTGCGGACTCCGCGTTGGGATCAGTGGCAGTGGTAGGGATGGGTGCCCCGGGGTCAAGGAACTCCTCTTTTCCGCGCCCTTCTGGGTGGCTGCCCGACCTCCTGAGGCGCCCGGGCTAGCAAGCGAGTCAGTCTTGCCGGCAGGGGCCGCGGCAAGCCTGGCTGGGCGCCTTTCGCATTGCAGGGCTTGTCCTCCGCCCCCCCTTCCCCCCCCCACCCCGGCCCTTCTAATCCGTTTGGAGAAAGGAGCACCTTTTGCATCCTTGATATCTCCCTCCGGTTTTGTCTGGGGAGACCTAGCCAAAAGCTTCACTCGGGTGGCTCGCGGGAGAGGCAGAGGACAGCAAAGAGCTACCTCCACCTGCCAAAATGACCCAGGGGCCCTGGTTTGGTGCCCAAGCGTGAAGTGGGGGGATGGGCAGTAGGTGTTCCTTACGTTCCTCCTGGAGAGTAGCTTTTCGGTTGGCCCAGAGCCCTCGGGTTTTTTGTCTTTCACTGTTTCCTCTGAAAATACTGGGTTAGGTGAGAAAAACCAATTCAGAAGACTTTCCTGTTTCTTTCCCTGTATTTGCTCAAGCGATTTGCGTAATCATTCACTTAGAACTGTGTAAGTCACTCCTAGTTGCCCCCCTCCTTAGACTATTTGCAAATACCTGCCCAGGTAAACAGGAAGCAAGCATTTTCCCAAGCACCTGTCCCCTTGCTGAAGGCATATACCCTCATGCTTTGTCCTCCCTGCATATCTGGAGCCAGAGAGGTGACTCTGATTCTCTAGTTAAAGTAGGTGTAATGTGTAGGCTCCACTTCTTACCTGAGTTGTGACCTTCTTGAGATTGACTCGTTCAGTATGCACTTACAACCAGCCCGCGTGGGCCAGGCCCCAGGATGCACTCTGGGACAGACTTTAAACAGATGATGTGATTTCTGCACCCAGTCTAGTCTGTTCTTTATTTCTCACCAGCTTCCTTTCTTTTCTTGTTCTGATATTATGTTTGTCATTTCCAAACTCGGAATTGTCAATAATGGGATACAGAAAAGGTCATCTGGAAGTGCCATAGAACTCTGAATCCAAAGCATGTTGTGAATATACTAAGGAGACTTGTGGGATCTGTTTTAATGGAATTTTTTTGTCTGAGCCATTATTGCCTGAATAGAGCCATTGACGAAGGCAGCCACACTAAGTGTTTGCTGGTCAAGCATATGAGGGCAAATTGGGAGGTCAGAAGCGGTCTTTGCTCTGTTCCACAATATTATAATATTAAAAGCCCAAAGCTCTGGAGCTCGAGTTTGCCAGCAAGGCACCAACTGAGCATCATGATCTTCTTTTAAGAAGGAAGGGGAAGAGTGGGAACTGCAGCCCCCTCCTGTCTTCAGTGGGTTTTGCCCTTCACTGTAATTCTTCACAGACGTGCATCCCTCTGTTCTACCACACATCTCAATCTGCGCTGTGTCTGGCATTTGCTGTTGGAATATGTGTCAGCTTTGAGAGAGCAGGCACCACAGGGTTTTCCTCCTCCTTTTCCTTTTTTTATTTTTTAATAGATAACATTTTTTGGCTGCATACTATATATCAAATACTCTGCTAGGCACTTTTCCAGGCATTATCTCATTTAATCCTCATAATAACTGCATGAGGTAGTGATACTTGCCTTCTTTACTGCAGTATTGCTGTGGGAGCCAGCAGCAGATGGAGCCCCCTAGGTGCATGTTGAGTCAGATGGGAGGCCAATGGGAAATGGTGGGCCTGAGGTCCCGCTAGCAGGAAGGACAGATCTGCAGGGTAGGATGAAGCAGAGGAGAAGGTGGGTGTGTTTGTTGACTCTGCTTGTCAGGTATCAGGAAAGTGGATCTTCCAGAGTGCCACCTGTTTTTAATACCCACCTAGAAACTTAATAGAGAACAGACTAGGATGTGGGGACCTAGCTTGCAGCTCTGATATCTATTTCTTTATGGCTCCTTGACTTGACATGTCATTTTTGCTAATCTAGGTCTTAGTCTGTTGAGCGACACTGATCTAGATCTCTAACATTTATTATTACCCTGTACTAGGCACTAAAAGCTAAAAGCTTTTACATGCATTAACTTATTTCATCCTAATGACAATCTTAGGATGATAGGTTCTATTATTACCCTATTTTAGAGGAAGAAAGAGAGACAAACTGAATAACTTGTTTGAGGTCACCCAGCCAGGAAAAGATGAAGCTAGGATTCTTTCTGTCCCTGGCAGTCTAACTGCAGAGTCACTGTGAGATTCAGTCTTCCCCATTTATTCCTGCAGTTCCAACGTCGTACCCTATTCTTAGTGGGATCTCGGATGAAGTTTATTGAAGAGTGACAGAGAGAGCTTGCAGTTATCAAGTGACTTTTGGGTCCCATGTCTCAGCCTTAAAAGGAACTTTAAAGACTGCATTAGCAAAATATTATTTTTGCCTTTGCCAAAATAGTCTGCTTTTCAATGGAATTCTGCCCAGCTGGTTAGGATAAAAGGAAGATAAACCATAAGGATCATGGGCCAGGCAAACAGTATGGTGATTTTCAGAAAATGTGTTTATCAATATAAGAAATTCACAAAAATCACAGAACACTCTGCACTCTGACTCAAAGTTGTGAAGTACACCAAGCAATGACCAATTCATGAGTACTTATTATATGGGTGCTAAGTGCCCAGTACAACAGGCATTGAAGGTAGGCAGAATCTATGACATGGCCTTTGAGCTTGAACTTGTAGTGGATCTGGAGACTCCAGATCAATGAGACAAGGTAGAACAACACAAGATGCTAAATATTGAAGTCCTGATAAAAATCACAATAATTCAGTCACAATTGTATAAGCTATAATGGTTTGTAGGAACTTTCACATGGGATATCTCATTTCAGTCCTCAGAGCAACTGAGAGTTATAAGCTATAGGTGGGACAGAGGTGAGGAAGTCCATATTGCTGATGAAGAAATTAAGGCAAAGTAAGCCTTGAGCTTGAACACAGTCATGGGTCATCTGACTTCAAGTCCAGCATCTTTCTGCTTCACATCTGTCTGGAGCTAGAGAGCAGAACAGGAAGGCAGTGCTATTGAGAGTCCTTGGGGAGTAGAGGGCTGAGTTTGAATTTCATCCTGGACCTGGCCTTTGATTGCCGGTCTTGACTACCCAGGGTGCTTAGAGGAGGCAGGGAAGGCGAAGAAATAGTGTTGTTGTTTTATTTTTCAGAGACCTGCTTCTATGTGAAGCCTGGAGTGAATACTCAGTTATCATGAACATAATAACAAGGCTTAAAATGTACAATAAGATGTAGAAGCTGATTTAGAATTTTCATCCCTGTTTTTCTTTATCGTTTGTCTAGATCACCTTTTGAAACTTTTTAGCATACCTGCACATTATACTTTTTTTCTTTTTTACAGTTGTTAAGAGTATCAAAATGTACACATTATAAAAGTGAACTCTTCAATATGTTAAAAATAGTTACTAGACTAGGTTGTGGTAGTTTTCTTGTGGGCAAGAGGTCTCATTCTCTTTGGAAACCTGCAGAGCCTTGCACTATGATTTGCTTTGAGGAGATACTGTATAAACATTGTCTTCAATTGCACAAGCATTGATGATAAAGGCATAAGATCTGTTTTTAGCCAGTAATGTTACAGTTAAGCAGTTAATGTTGACAGCAGCAGCTTCAGTGAGTTTGCTGAAGTCCCAAATGAATGAAGTATCTTGCTGACTATCCTACTGATCAGT